TCTTCACTGTAGATTATCTCTGAAGCACCAGTTTGAATGCTGAGTAAGCTAGGTGTGTTATTTCCAACGTTTAAGGCAGCACTGCCTGACAGACAGGCACTAACTGAAGCACTTGGGCTTTTACAAATAGATGTTACTCTGTTTAAAAAAGCATAGTCTGAGCAGATGGTATAAAATTTCTCTCGTGTATGAGTCACAGGACATCCCCATGGATAATGCCCATCTCCTCTAGAAACCAAGGACGCAGTTGAGGCGTCTGACATGCAGTATGGCTTCACGGGATCACGTAGAGAAGCTTCTGGGGATTCTTTCCCAGGTTTGTTTTCAGTGTTTCCATTACTTCCAGAACCATTCTCCTTTTCATCTTCTGAAATGTTAGGCATTGAATGATACTGAAAGAGTATGGTACAGCTAAGAATATTTTTTTCTTTACGTTTTAATTACAACAGAGTTTGCATCATTGCTTCCATTGCCTCTGCAAGCTATTGATGAGGTACCTGAAAGAAAATGAGAAGTTAGTACAGGTGTCTCAATCAACATAAAACACACAAAGCTTATTTTTTAACTCATACTCAATAAAAGCTGAAATGCCCTTTAAGATACACCACACCATATACCATGTCTTTTCCTAAGCGTCTCTAGAATTCTACAAACAGCACTTTTTATTATTTGTGAGGTGCCCACAGCATACACCACAGTGACAACCATGAAGACATCATGAGTAATTAGACATATAAACCAGTACAAGAGGAAAAAAAAAAAAAAGAAAGAAAAAAATCAAACCAAACACCTTCCTACATTTACACAGCTGTGGTTGATCATTTCTATTTCTTTATAGTCACAATACCTTGTGTATGTGGAGCACAAAATAATTTATGCAAATTAATGAGAGACAACAACTTAAGGTCACTTAATTCTGAAGAATCCTGCATACTTTTGCTGGAAGTGAAGTTTAAGCTTACACAAAATCACAGTAACTATTACCTCTGTTGACTGTAAATTTACAACACTACCCTCAATCTGTTCCACCACTTTCCTTGTATGGCTGTTGAGGGCTCCCTTTTATTTTTATGTGCCTCCTATTCTTCAAGATGTGAGAAAGAAAAGCGTCAGATTTTGTTTACAGTAACTAAGAATTACCAAAAACAAATTCAGAAGGCTGGCTTGGTTTGAATGATCTTTTTTAAAAAGCAAATTGACAGTACGCGTTATCCGTCATCTCAGCAGCTTGCAGGCGCGTCTGCGGTGCGAAGGCACTCGCCGCATATGGGAAACCTGGCGGCTTCGCTCGAGAGCTGACTCCTGCGACAACGACTTCGGGTCACTGAACTGAACCAACAGCGCGCCAATTCTCCTCTGCCAGAAGCGGGCCTTGCAACCAAACACAAGCAGGGCTCCGCTTGAAAAATTACAAGGAAATAACAAAAAAAAAAAACAGGCACGTACTCCGCAGCTGACGGCAACGGAGGCGGCCAAGCGGCGCCCAGCCCCCGATTCCGCCGAGCAGCCCCGGCAGGACTCCTCTCCCCAGCTCCCCGGGGACTCACGCACCGGGGAGGCCCGCACAGCTCCCCCGTGGGGCGGAGGGACACCCGGCCTC